ACACACACACACACACACACACACACACACACACACACACACACAGGATATCTGCAGACTCTCTGACGCAGTCTCAGCAAAATGATGTTCATTGCAGAGCTAATGTGTGACCCTGTTATTGCCTCCACATCTGGAATGTGTGTGAGAGAGATAAGATAGGAACATGTGGGTTGCATTTGTTTACAAAAACAGAAAAATGCTGCGGAAAATGTCGACTGTGCAATTTAAGGAGTCTGCTCTTTTTTTAACATTCTTTCTCCCCGTTGACTCCTGCTTAACAACTTCTAAATCACAAGTTAAAGTACCGTTAACATATTTATATACTTAATTTGCTTATTGTTATGTTGACATATGGTAATAATATGTACGTGGAACTACGTCTCTGTGCTACTGGTGTGTGAGTGGGAACATTTTGGCCTCAGATGGATCCCAAAACACACACAAGAAGAGCTAAAAAATAAAGTATTTCCCGTGTTTGAAGATCCTTTCTCGACTGCTTTAGCCGTTACTCTTGCACTCTTTACACACACAAGCTACGAACTCGGCTAAAGATAGTCCGGGTCCCGGTTTATGCGGGTGATTACGTTAGCCTCGAGGTCTGCAGGGTGTGTGGGCAGCCAAACATCTGGGAAACAGCTGGTTTGCTGAAGCGAGAGCTACTGCCTGCCTGGGCAATGCTGGTCTTTGTTGTTCTGCAGACTCTGACTTCTTCAAGTCTGCTCACCCTATAATTAAACTACAATAGTAATGAGGGTGACAAAAAGGTACGGCTTCTTTGAGATAAAAAAGGAAAAACAGACGGCTAGTCAAGACATCGCAAAGTTTAAAATGCAAGACGTGCACGTCATCGTAACAAACATCTGAACTTGCCACAGCATTTATGGATTAGATGTGTGAAAGGGTCGAGGTTATGGCCATGTCTGCTGTGGACTGAGACCAAGTTCGTGGCAATACTCTTTGACCGCCTCGCTGAATTCACCGTCATTTTGTGGGTTGCAAAAGAAAACAGCTTCTCTATTTCAAGCACAGCCATGAAATGTTGTTTTGATCGTATTTAGGCAGAATACAATGACTGTGTATTCACTGCAGGCGCCTTTCTGCTCTCTTTCTACAGTTTTCTTAACAGATAGATGAGAAATGTAAACGGACTGCAAACAACATGACAAGGGAACGCTTGGTCTACAGCAATACATTATTTTTTGGGTGTTTTGCCTTTGTTAGATGGGACAGATAGAGACTGGAAAGGAAGGTCAGACTCAAACCCCAGCTGCTGTGGTTAGGACTCAGCCTAGTTTCATGGGGCGCCGGCTCTTCAAGGTGAGCCACCTGGGAACATTACATTACATTTTAGACTTAAAGACTACTTGTTTGCCCTGATGTTTTTTCAAAAAGTTTGAAAATGCAACGCAAACTTCGACTAGTCACTGGGGTAGGAAAAGCCGTTTCTAGTCAGTAGATCTCACTATGACTTGACTTCCACTGAGCGCTGTGAGACTGAACCTAACGCAGACACAACAGCTGTTCTTTCAAAGTTTACAAGGTCATGTCAAGAAACATTTACTGTGTGAAAGGAAGTGCAAGTGTCAAAAAAAGAAAAAACCCAAAAGCAAAGTAAAGAACACCACACAGAGAAAAAACATCCTCCCACAAGGACATTTCAGATTTAAATAAATAAATTGATTAAAGTTGAGTTATCGTCGAGGACAAAACATTTAATTTAACATGTAATACTCGTGAGTCGGAACCAAACTCTGTGTTTGTGGAGCCCAGGAAGTGAGTGAACAAGTGTGCCCTGTTATTTTTAACTCCTCCACCTGCTCCCTGTTGTGTTTGGCCGGGTGGGCCTGGGACTGACTTAATGCTTTCCTAGACACATTCACAGCATTCATTCATGTGTACTCTGGCTTCAGTAAGAGGTGGGGATTAGAGGAAGGACTGAGAGTGAGGGGGGGGGGACAACTAGAGAGGTCATCATGCATCATGTTTAAGCTATATGCCGCAATTTTAAACCCATCTGCCATTTCTTTTTGACATGAAGTGGCAGTTAAAGCATTGACATGACGTCTTAATAAACGGGGCATTACCTGGACGTACCACTATATATGTATAAAAGAAAAAGGTTACATTTCTGCTTCAAATGCTCTGAAACATTCAATTTGACAATAAACCACTGTGTCTGTTGTTGTCGTCCCTTTAAACACCTGATTCAGTTTGCTCAGCAGAACGGCTTCAAGGACAAGAGGTGGTGTTTTGGGAGAAACATTGATGGCTCTCTGCCACACTGACTTCTAAACAGCCTCACTTGTCCCTGACGGTATGTCCTGGCAGTGTTTACAGAAAGATGCAGGATTAGCTTGACGAAGGTATTTGCACGTATAGGAAACTCTGAACCAGCTCATTCCAAGTATTGAAATAATATGAATAGAAACCAAATGCTATGGCTCGTTAATGGGGAAGTTACTAAACCACAAAACATAAACATTTGTAGAGGAAATATCCTGGTCCTGCAGTATGTGTAAGACTGTAATACAACACCCCGCATTGCTCGAGAACGATTATCCCACTAATCCCCACTAATTAGATGAAAGCATCAGTTATCTTATTAATCACGGCCGGATTTCTATTCCTAATTACATTACCTGAACTATATTAATTATGCAGGTTTCATACAAATGTATCGTGGTGGTTGTCCTACGTGTTGCTGATCTCATGGCCTTTGGAAGCCGGTTGAGTCATCTGCTGACTCGGGCACTTGTGAGATTATTCAACAAGACGCTTCCTTCGAACAGTTATCCGAGCATAACAATCATGAGAAATGGTGGCAAGAACAGAAAATGTCAGGGGGTTGGTGCATCTTTAATGTCAGTTGTTCTAATTTTGCAAGAGGTGGAGTGTGGTGCCTTTTCTCTTCATAGAGGCAGTGACGCTGGAGTGTTACGTGAACGCTGAGCTGAGACTAGATGACGATCATTATGAGAAACCACAAGCTGCAACTGTCAGCTGAACTGGTGCCTCTATCTCTCACACACACACACACACACACACACACACACACACACACACACACAC